TTTATCTCTCCCTCCCTCCCTCTCTCTCTCTCTCCCTCTCTCCCTCCATCTCTCTCCCTCCCACTCCCTCTCTCTCTCCCCTCCCTCCCTCCCTCACACACTCTCTCTCCCTCCCTCTCCCTCCCTCTCCCTTCCTCTCTCTCCCTCTCTCCTGCTCTCTCTCTCCCCCTCCCGCTCTCTCCCCCTCCCTCCCTCCTGCTCTCTCCCTCCCTCTCCCTCCCTCCCTCCCTCTCCCTCCCTTTCTCCCTCCCTCTCGCTCTCTTTCTCTCTCTCTCTTCCAAACTGACACCTTTTTAAAACCATCAGAACTGCTGGATTGTCCCTGTTTTGATAGCCTTTCCTGGAACGACTCATAAATAACCTTTATTTTGTTATAATTCCTGCCCTGTCAGGAGCTATAAACAACCTGGCTAGGCTGAAATTAGGATGAAGGCCAGCCAATCGGCACAAACCTTCGTGGATGGCTCAGGAGGAAGAGGGAGGTATCCGACGGGCACATGCAACCTTTTGAAGGGGAATTTGTGGCTCGGGGTGTCAGTCCACGCAGACCTCGTTTCGGGGTCGCGTCGCTTTTAACTGCCCTTCCATTGTATCTCCTCTCTCTCTCTTTTTTTTCCCCCTTCTTCTTCTTCCCCGTATAACATTTTTTTTTTTCATACACTCCATCTCGGAGCACTTTACAAGGCAATTAATTACCTGCAGCGGAGTGATGGAATGAAGGCAGATATGACGGCCATTATGCACTCAGCAACATTGGCTCTCAAAGCATTTACATCTGTGGCATTTAATTTGTGATGGCTTTATGGAGAGAGCGAGAGAGGAGAGGAGAGGAGAGGAAGGGAAAAAGAAAACCGACATGTTTTTCCTAGCAACTCTCTTTGTTGGGCAGCCCATTCCTCTCCATTCCAACCCTGCTATTCCACTCCTTGGACTTCAGTAAGGTCCTCCACGGTCTTTGGTGGCTTCCTTTCTCCTTTTAACCCAACGCTTCCTGATACATGTCTAGGCAGCTTGGTCAAGGTTGTCCCCCAAGGTGCTTTTCCAAACGGCAACTGGACTTAGTTTCTCCTTGAAGACATTTTGCTTCTCCTCCAAGAAGCTTCATCCATTCTGACTGGAGGGGGGAATACGACGCCACCCGTGACCCGTCTCCTGTTTACAACACAGTCCTAAGAAGGTCCCACACCCATTTGCACTCTTCAGCTGACAGATAAACCTCCAAGTGGCCTCATCAACTCCCAGAAAGAGCGCCAACGACCAGAGGACTGCAAGGAATATCAATCCTTCCCTCGTCCACCATTCAGTCAGAACTGAAGAAGCTTCTCGGATGAGAAGCGAAACCTCTTCAAGGAAAAACAAAGTCCAGTGGCCTTTTGAAAAAGCGCCTTGGGGACTTCCTGATGCCTCTTCCTTGTTCCTACATATCCCAGAATATCCTTTTCCTTGATCCCTTCTCAACTTCCCTACAGGTCGTTTTGCTCAAAGAAATTATCTCCTTGTTTTCCTTGGATAACTCCAGAGAAGTTTACTACAGAAGGTCACCATGGAACCTATTTCCTTTATTTTCTTGTGGGTTTTCCAGAACACTCAAAAAGTGAGACAGGCCCAAATGACGTTACTTTTGAACATTGACAACAGAATATAAATAGTGAATACTTTCAGAGCCTTCACACAACTGATCAGGATGAAGTATTCTGGCTGAAGCCAGAGGAGAAAAATCAAAGAATCCACCAGCTCTCAGAAGATATGAAGGACCATGTTGAGTTCATCAACACTAAGTTGATGTTCAGAACCACGGACGGTTCCATATAAAGCGAGATCTTGCTCTGACCGGCGGCTCTTTCTCCAAACTAAAAACAGATTCTGGTTATTTTCAAATTGGCTTATTCTAGCCACCGCCATCACTCAGAGGTAATTAATGATGGCACCGTGGAGGAGATGAGGTTGAAAAAGGTTGCAGTGGGGTTGATAAACCTATCAACGGATTCAATACCCAGCATCTTTGCCTCTCTTCTCATCTCCCCCCAAAAGCGGTTGCCACATCAAAGCTAGGCCACCTGGATTAGAATGGCCCATGATAAATAGCCAGGCGCAGAGGGCATCCTGGAGTTATTATTTCACCAGCTAGGTCACCCTAGAAAATGCCAGCTGTTCTCCCATCTATCTCAGCAGATGACAATCTGCCGCATACACTGATTGACGCCACTAGCCTCAATATACCGAAGCCGAATAAAACCTGTCGGCGAGCAATAAAACTATTCCAGCTGCTAGTAATGGTTTGTGAGGACAAGAACATAACTCATCCACATGGTACATGGAAATATCAACTGAGCCTCTGTGTACATCACAGGTGTAAATAAAGGAGAAACAGGGGAGGTTTTCCTTTCCAAGGGACTTTCATAGATCTATGGGTTGAGATGCTGGCAACCACAAACCAGCACCAGACTGGCAATACTTCCTTTGCTATTTGTCCCCTTATTTCATTCTCTCTTGTGCTGTCCACCACCCACAACTGTCTGGGCAACTTTTTCCCTGTTCCCTTGTCCAGCCTGTGACCTGATAGAAAGGTCACCAGCCTTAGCAAGAAAGAGTCTTCAATGGATCAGGCTTTCCAACAGCAACAACATAGCCAACCAGGATCAATGGAAGCTGATGAAGGAGAAGAGCGGAGACAGAGGGTGGAGTCAAGTAAGCAAATAGCCTAGAATCATTAACGTTGCCACAAATGGTCTAAGTACAATCCCTACTGAATTCAATTGACTCTTACCTAGTATCCACATTTAGTACCGGCTGTTAGTTGACTGGATTCTCATGAACAGGCATGACCAATAAAGTCCTTAACTGAAACTTAATGTGTGGTCCTAATTCTTTGCACCAGAACATCTGGTGCAGAGAGAACATGCGTGGACTTGAAGGATCTGATTGTCGTTAGATTGGATGAAGACTCACTGAACGATATGCCTTCTCTTACAAAAAATAATAAATAAATAATAAAAAATAATAAAATAAATAATAAATAACAAACTGGTTTGATGTTTTCCCCGGGTGATTTGGATGGGAAATTTCCACTCTTGATGGTGGTCTCTAAATTACACTGGAAAAAACAAAAAAACAAAAAATCCCCTCACTTCCATTTTACAATGGAGTCTCCTGGATGACATGATAAAATTCAGCAAACGAAAACAAGAATAAAACAAGCCCAAATTATCACAAGAAAGAGGAAATGGAATCGGAATGTCCGCAGATGAGCATGCTAAATTTCAAAAGGCTCTAGTGAACTTGAAAAGAAATTAAAGAGTTCATAACGTCCGTCTCGAAGAAGTTGCTCTGTAGACCACATTCATCCCCCACCCTTCTCTCTCTCTCCCTCTCTCTCTCTCTCTCTCACACACACACACACACACATTGTCTGGGTGCAAGTTTCTCTTTGACTTCTTCCTCTCCTCTTCCTACGAGACATACAGCTTAATGTGACATACTCAAGGAGAACTGATTGAGATTCAGAAGCGAACCAAAGAATGTCTTGATTAATTCTTTAAGTCCCTGTCTCTCTTGCTGGTGCCTTTCCGAATCCCACAGACACGCTTGTGCCTATTTGAAATTCCCCAACGTAGCCATGAGTTCCGAGCCAGAGTTGTTTAACACTGTTGTGAGCCACCCAGAGTTGTTTAAGATGGGCAGCCGTATAAATCTTAGAAATAAATAAATAAGTAAATAAATAAATAGTTCTCTTACTAACTGATGGCTCCTCTCATTGAGGTCATCAATCAAACTGAGAATGTTAAAAAAGAAACTATAGATCATATTTGCTGAAGGAAGGAGAATGGGGCGAGGGGGGGAAGGAAGAGGAGGAGGAAAAGAGGAGGAAGGGAGAGGATGAGAAGGAAGGAAGGAAGAACCATACAAAGATGTCATAGGAAGATGTTGCGGTTATCATGTTCTTTCTCCAGCAAAGTATAAAATGGAGGAGAAGGAGAAGGAGGATGAGAAGAAGGAAAATATGAAGAAGGGGGAAGAGGGGAAGGAAGATATGGAGGAGGAGGAAGAGGAGGAGGAGGAGGAGGAGGAGGAGGAGGGGAAGGAAAATGAGATATTGAATGGGGAAGGATGAGATGAAGGAAAATGAGAAGATATGAGGAGGAGGAGGAGGAGGAAGGAAGGACAAGAGGAGGAGGAGGAAGGAAGGACAGGAGGAAGAGGAGGACAGGAGGAGAGAAGAATAGAATAGGAGAATGGGAAGGAGGAGAGGATAAAGCTTCACAAGTACATAACACGGAGACTAAAACATAGCTTTCTTTCCCTATAACTCAACTTATATTCATCAGAGGCATATATTTAAATCATCGCTTACTTTGCTTTTGTGTCTGAAATTTATTAGCCTACTACTTAAATGTTTTATTCATTAGGCCATGTAAATAATGCATGCTTGTTTCCATGGTAATTTAACCCTTTCTCACCAAGGGGATTTGCTCAATTTTGTGCTGTGCGCTTCCTTTATTAATTGCTGGGACCAAGACCGGAGCAATCTTGGGGGGGGGGGGAATAAGCCCAGATGGGCTCCCTTCCCCACTTTTAAGCAACTGCATTTAAGAACCAAGTTTTCTTTGACAAATACAACACACCCAGGTGCGATCAGAGGGAAGATAGCATTCCTAGAATGGCATGAATGGGGAATCGGTGCGCACCTTTATCACCAATGCAACCCATAGCGGTAGATTTTCTTTTTTTATTAGCAGAGGTGACACCAGGCTGAAGAATGGATCTGGAACAATTGTTCTCCAGATCTTGGTCTCAGCAAGTTAAACCCACAAGGAAAGTTGTCAGAAACTAAAAACGACACCAAAGATGACACCAAATTGGATTGTCCTATGGATAGATCTAGGATAAAGAGATGCTGCCTCAGGAACCATCCGAAAAAAGGTGAAGGAGCCCACAGCTGCATAACAGGCACAAGAAAAACCTCAGAAAAGATCTTCTCCAACTTCACAAGCTGCAGATACTTTCAGACTTGCAAATTCTACCAATGTATCCTTACAATAAAGTAGAATTCCTTCATCTCATCATCGCTCTTCTCTGGTCGACAAAACAAAGAAACCAAGGAAGACACGCTGAAGTTCTGATATCTAAGGGGCTGTCCCCAAAGAAGAGGGAGTCAAGCTAGTCTCCAAAGCACCTGAAGGACAAGAAGCAACAGATGGAAACTCATCAAGGAGAAAAGCAACCTAGAACTAAGAAGGAATTTCCTGACCATGAGAACAATAATCAGACTTCCCTCCAGAAATTGTGGATGGCCCAACACTGGAGGTTTTTAAGAAGACATTGGATAACCATTTGTCTGCCTGAGCAGGGTGGGTTGGACTACAAGATCTCCAAAATCCCTTCCAACTGTATTATTCTGGTATTTGGAGCAGTTTCCTTTCATCCCACCTTGAACGCCTCTCTTATCTCCCGCTCATTTCCCTTTAACAGCCAGTTGGCCGGATTCTTGTAGCGAGCTTAAAGTCGCAATACCTTTTTTTTTTTACTTATTTGAAATGCCCGAATGTCCTCATTTCCCAGATGCTTGACAGAATTTCTTTGTCCAGCATTGAAAAAGAATATACCGTTTCTAAACCTTGTGCTTGAGACAGAAAAATATATATGATGTTTTGATTTTTGGGATTCCCTGATTAGACATGTTTTTCCCCCCCTTCTAGAAACGACTAGTTTACATTGAGTATGTAGAATGAATTGTTGAGGTTGTTAACCTTATTATTTTTATTCCACTGCACCGAAAAGAATCAGACGTTAATACCTTCACCCCACTTTATCCTACACTGTTTCTTTTCCTCTCTTCCTGCTATTTTTGTTTGCATTTGTGTTTTACGCTTTAATAAGCCCAGTAAAATTATTATAGGAAAGAAAACGAATGCCGCCTTCTACTAGCAAATACAAGCAAGATGTTTGGAGGGTGTTTTTTTTTTAAGAGAGAAAAAAAAAGAAGGAAAAAGAAAGAGAGAGAGAGAGAGAGCCACAAAATCATGGATCTTTGCAGAGTCGATCAATCAGCAACTACCATGCAGACAAGAGTCGGAGAAATACAGATGCAAAAATCTACAGAGGCTTGTATATCTGTCCAAGCCTGTTTCCACTTGGTGATGAATAGCAAGAGAGGGGCTCAGGCAGAGCGCTGGGCTTTGACTTAATTTGAACTTGGTGCAGCAAAGGAAGAGACAAAAGGAGGAGAGGGGGTGCACTGAACGGGCAGGTAACTTATAGTGCCTCCCTTAACGCCGAGTAGGCAGATGATAGATCAACGGTGAGCAAACGGCATTAAAATCCCCTGGCTATTTTTTGCAACATTCACAGCCTCTCTGTCTCTCTCTCCTCTCTCTTTTTCTTCTTCTCTCTCTCCTCTCTCTCTTTCTTCTTCTTCTCTTTTTCTCCTCTCTCTCTTTCCTCTCTTTCTTCTTCTCTCTCTCCTCTCTCTCTTTCTTCTTCTCTCTTTCTCCTCTCTCTCTTTCTTCTTCTTCTTCTCTTTTTCTCCTCTTTCTCTTTCCTCTCTCTCTCCTTCTCTCTCTCCTCTTTCTTCTTGTTCTCCTCTTTTTCTTCCTCTTTCTCTCTCTCTCCCCCTCTCTCCTTCTTCTCTCTCTCTTCTTCTTCTTCTCTCTCTCTGCTCTCTCTCTCTCTCTCACACACACACTTTCTCTCTCTTCCACCTGCCCTCCCAAAAATCACATTGCCAGTGTTCGCGGTATGATTTTCATCAGTGCAAACTCTAAAGCAGGCCTGTTGAATTTCCAGTTCAAACAGCAAAAAAGACAACCGAAGAGAGACACAACCTCACGCTCCAGGAAAGGAAAATAAAAAGTTCTCAAATTCCTCTCACTAATTAAAACGTTCATTGCGATTCGTGCAAACTGGATTTTTTAAAAAATAGATTAAATTCATGTTCAAGCCCCCAATTGGTTTATCTCTCTGAATAGACCGTGATCAACTCCTCCAAGGACTTGGGTACAGGATAGAATGCAGAATAGCAGAGCTGGAAGGGACCTTGGAGGTCTTCTAGTCCAACCCCTTTCTGGCTCTTCTTCGGCTTTGTAATGGAGATGAGCAGTGCCCCCTAGAAACCAGCATGGATGTGCAAGGGGAACCTTTACCTTTCAAGTTAAATTCACTTCCCTTAAAAACCAGATACCCGTGTATGTTATGGAGATGGTTACCCTCTGAGCATGCCAATTTAAGAGTGGCTCCTATCAAACCCTGCTCTCCATTTCGCACAACTCCCTAGCGATGCAGGACCTTTTGTCAGGCCCATATGAAATTAAGTGAAATAAAAATCGTATTAAAAATTATTACTGTCTAACAGCCATTAGTCTACACGATGCTGTCAACTCTTGATGGATTTCTCACTTAGTGCAATGAATGTTCTAATGACAGTGATAAAATCACTTAGAAAAAAAAATATAATAAACTATTAACCCTCTCTGGCAATGCTTGTTTCTCCTCTGGCTCTTACTTCAACCCCCACCCGTCTCCAAATTGTGTCAAAATGTTTTCTCCCCAAATATTGGATGCCACAGGGAACTGGGCGGGGGGGGGAGAGAACCGTGAAGTTTACCCCTCCAAGTAAAACTCGAGTGCTGGAGCACTCAGAACTCAGTGGTGCCAAGCAGTTCCGCCGGTTGGGGAAATTTCAGTAAATAACCATTAAAATGTGTTCCATGGCTGTCTTAAGCCCTCCCTAAAATTAAGAAAGGGGAAATAGATACTGTCGTGCCCCTGTTGGAATCTGATTCCAAGGGGGAGGTCGAGCAGCTGACAGGGAGTGTGGCTCCGGTGGCTGTGGAGGAAACTGGGGAAGGGCACAGTCCGGCTGGGCATTCAGAAGAAGACCCAGGCCCACCCCCTCTTCATCCTAGGGCACGCAAGGAGGAACAGAGAAGGGAGCAATGTGGGTTACGGGGGAGAAAAGGGCCCTGATCCCCTTCATTAGCTGCAGCTGGGAAAACAAGATAAAAAGGGCATTTGCGCACAGCACCTTGCTGGAAGCAAAGCGTGTATTATCTTTGTTTGTCACGTCTTATCTGGGTTCTGGTATCCTCCCAACTGTGTGTGTTTTGTTATTTTTTGAAGTCTGCAATTCCTTATCCTGCCCTGTCTCGTTCATTGCTGCAGTGTGGGTTTGTGTTGCTTTTTATTTATAATTTATATGTACTTTGGGTTCGGACTGAATTTCTTCCCTTTAAAAACTGTTCTTGGGAGTGTTTTTTCTCCAGTCGATGACAACTGGACCTTGGGGGGCCAAGTTGGAGGAATTAAAGGGACTTTACCTACTTTTGTGACTTTGTTGTTTTTGTGCCATGCCCCTTTGGGTCATCACAGGTTCTGAAATAAATAAAAGCAGTGCACATGCGCAGCTGGTCATCCCCCACAACGAACCAGCAGAAGTTGTGGGTGCTCCATCAAAAATAGACTGGACAACCATTTGATCAGGATGGTATAAAGTCTCTTGTGAATTCCCAATTGTGCCTCCCTGGCGGTAGAGATTCACATCAAACCATGGGTTCTTTTGGTGGAAAGGGATGTTCCCTGCAACCCTGCTTTGAGTTTGGCACACCAAGGTACATAGGTGTCACTTCCCGGCTCAGAAGCCCGCCGGAAGCTTTGATGAAAAACTTTTGCAGATGTACAGGAGGCTGAGTGGGTGAGACAGGACGGCAGGATTTTACACGAGATGACACTGGTTTAACAGAAGCAATATCCACCCCTTGCTTAACCCAATCAGCGGAGCCAGAGGTGCAGTGGAGGAATGGCAATTTGATTGCCACTGAACCTGGCGCTCGCTTGTCAAATATGAGCACGAATGTGGCAGTTACTTTGGGCCTGTTTGTAATCTTTTGAGGCGGGCTTGCCAAGGCGGCCCCGGTGATATTCGTAAGAGTGCAGGGAGGCACGCCGGCAGTGTCACACACAATTAATGTCCCTCGGTAGCAACTCCATTAGTCTTATGAAGTGAGGCCACAAGCACGAATACTAATGGGCACCTGTCTGTGGGGTACCCAGGCTGGAGTTTCAAGCGAGCTCCTTCACAGGAGCCCCCAAAAGGTGAGCCTTCAGCTTATTAAGGGAGGGAAAGGGTTCATTTTCATATGCAAGGAGTTCTTAACTTACAGCCATTCATTTTTCTCTTCCTTCCTTCCTTCCTTCCTTCCTTCCTTCCTTCCTTCCTTCCTTCCTCTCTTCCTCCCTCCATCTTCTTTCTTTCTTTCTTTCTTTCTTTCTTTCTTTCTTTCTTTTCCTTCCTTCCTTCCTTCCTTCCTTCCACTCTCCCTCCCTCCCTCTTTCTTTCTTTCTTTCTTTCTTTCTTTCTTTCTTTCTTTCTTTCTTTCTTTCTTTCTTTCTTTCTTTCTTTCTTTCTTTCTTTCTTCCTCCCTGCCTCCCTCCCTCCCTCCATCTAGCTATCTAGCTTAAACACCTTCCAAAACTTTCCTCCTCCTATTTTCCCCATAGCAACAATTCAGTGTTGTCAGTTGGGCTGAGAGAGAGAGACTGGCCCAAAGTCACCCAACAGAGAGGAGGAAGGGGGTCAAGCTATTCTCCAAAGCCCTGGAAGGCTGGACAAGGAAGAATGGATGGAAACTGAACAAGGAGAGATTCAACCTGGAAATAAGGAGGAAGTTTCTGACGGTGAGAACAATCCACCCATGGAACAGAAGTTGCCTTTCAGAAGTTGTGGGAGCTTCATCTGTGGAGGCTTCCGAGAAGAGACTGTCAGAAATGGTGTAGGGTCTGCTTGGGCGGGGGGGTTGGACTAGATGACCTACAAGGTCCCTTCCAACTCTGTTAATTTGTATCTGTATCTACTATCAAATCTGCTTTAGGGGTTCTATTGGTTTTAATTATACAGTGCCCAGAATCCAGGCTGATCACAGCAGCCTATTCTGAATTTAAATTTAACAAATAAACATGCCGGTGAGCTTCCGTCCTTTTTGCCGACTTTCACCCGAGAGGAGCTGAAAAACTTTCCAAGCCTGCAACCCACTTCTTTTCAGCTTCCCCGAGAAGGGGACATAAACCAAACTGATTCGAACAGACCCCTAGAGGGGAAACACTGGTTGGTTGAAGAAATATAGCTATGGGTAAAATTACATGTTCACAAAGCCCCAAGGCTGGAAGAAATAAAAAGCATTTTAAATGAAGTATAGGAGTCACACGCTTCCGTCATTACCAATAAATAAATCTCGAGCAATTCCTTCCCCCCCCCCCCCCCCCCTCCCCCCCCACCCCCAGCCCTTGTAAACACGGGTAGCGTTTGCTTCTCCGCCGTTTCCAAACTGCACATTCTCATCAGGAAAAGCCGGTCTGTTTGTAAGAAGGAATCGGTGCAGGGCGAGAGCAGGCTGGAAAAAAGAAACGAGTGAAGAGCCCCCGTCCAAGGTTTTTCTCGGGTCTAAGTGCCAGCTGCGCTCTGTCTTTCTTGGGCCATTATTTAGGGGAAGGGCTGCAAACATTGAGCATATGGGAAGGAATCGGTTTTGATTAAATATGAAGAAGGAACTGGAGTTATTGGATATTAGGGAATATTTGTAGGTTGGGATGGAACCGGGAGGATCCTTGGTGCTCCGTGAGCTTGGCGGTTTCCTTGCAGAC